ACAGGAAAATTGTTTTTCTTCCCATTGAAATTAGCAATTAGAATTTCAGCCTTTTGCACAAATTTGAAATCAAATAAATTGACTTGGTTTCATTAAAAACAAAAACAAAAACAAAACAACAACAATAACAACAACAACAACAACAAAAAACAGAGGGAGACCCGCATTAAAGACCTGCTGATGTACAAGGTCACTGTGGTCTCCTTTATGATGGCGGTGGCTCAGGAGTTCATCAGCGGAAACGTCTGAGATTCCGTATAAAATCAGCGCTAATTCTGGCTCAACTTTTTAGACACACAGTACCCAGAAAATATAGACCAGCTTGAGACATTGTCACAGTTTACGTGGTCATTAATTTTATATTGCCGCCGAGAGTAAAATGGGAAAGGAAAGAGCTTTAACGAGGAGGCGACTGATGTCTCGATGTCCCCATGAACCCATCATGGGCCTTCAGCTCTGGTTTTCGGCCTGGAAAGACAGGAGTGAAGCGTTCCGTACCTTTTTTCGAGTTTGACAGAAAACAATCAGCCAAGGATTTAGCTAAACATGAAAGTTCACTTCAGCTGACCCGGAGTCGGCTTTTTTTTTAAAGAAGCCATCACTTTAGGCCTGCGTGAAAAGTACTGCTGAGGACTGGGTTAATGAGAGAGCTGGTGCCCTCCTTGAACTTCCTGTCTCTGAAAGCTTCTCGGTATGGGACCCCAATTACTGTCACTTTCTGCGCTGATGCACACTGGACAGCCCAGGACGGCCCCTGCCCCCACTCCAGTACTTAATCAGCGCGATTAATCGTTCGTGTTTTAGGATTTCTCCAGCCCTTTGCCTTGCTTTCAAATACGGTGGAAGTGCAGTCTGAAGCTGTGCAGGCAGTGCTGTGGCTTTTTGGCGTGCGGCTGCCCTCTGGCGGCAAGAGAAGAACTGGGAAATTAAAAATGACCCCTTCTGCTTTCTTTTTCTTTGGGGTAAAGATGGAAATTTGAGTGTTTGACTAGCGCAAATTAAGATATGTGAGTTTTTGAAGGCGATGTACAAAGATGGGAGTATCCATGAGCAAGTTCTGTAGGGATGTAACGCTTTGGAGCCCTACCTGGCAGTGAGAACTCGCATCTTAACCAGGAAGCCTTCCATGTAGATGTGGACATGCGGAGTATGGGAGGTCGGGCTATCTTTAGAGCTGATTTTCATGTTTGTTCACCTCTAGCCAGGATCCTGACAGAGCTCTAGAGAAGCAGGCGTCTAGGAATCAAGTTATGACAAAGAAAAGTCAGAGAAATTAGATTGTGCGCTCTCCCACACTGTGAAAGTCAACAGAGATTCTGTCAACGCCGCATGCTGAGAAACGGTATCAACCTTCTTAATGGTGGGGTCTGGCACTTGTTTTCTCCCTTTGCACAGAGTCTTTATAAACAGAAGAAGCATAACTTGGTGGAATTTGGGTTTACTGTCATTCTGAGTGCGATTGTGTTCCTGCTTATTTAACTCATTTATTTTTTTCTATGAATTCCTCCAAGTTGGGGCAAAAGAAGAATTGGAAATTATATATAAGTAACTAAGGGGACAAGAGGATATAAATATCTCTTTTGTCATCAGCAGCTGATGTATCTAAAGTCCTCAGTACGTCCACTAGAAAAGTAGAATTTAAATCGGAGCACTCAGGATTCGGAAGGGACTGAGTGTCCCCAGTTTGTATTCTAGCTAGGCTTCCACCAGCTCCAAAATGTAACTTCTTCCCGCGAAATCATGTTCTGTATGTGTCTCACAGCGTTGCAACTGAGAAGAAATGAGGTTGCGAGAGTGGAGGAGCTTTTGAGACAACCAAATGTAGAAGGTAGGAGTATCGCTGCTGCAGTTCTTACCAATTGCAGGGAACTTTATGTAAAGGTGGGCTTCCGCGGCTCAGGTGAATGAACCTCAGACGTGGTCCTTGCTGTCCAGGGTGAATGTCTTCTGGGAGGGTTGGAGATCTTTATCTTTATCCATGATCTTTATTTCAAAACTGAACATTGTCGGGGCGGAGGAGATGGATCAATAGCAAGTATGAAAGAACCAAGTTTGGAAAGTCAGGCCTAGCTGTGCATTCAACATGGAGGAATATTTGGGAAAGAGACTGGAAGTTCAAGTTCTGGAAGCTCCCTAGATCATTCATATTCAGTGAGAGACCCTGTGGAGAACTGTAAAAAGACACGCAACATTCTAGAGTGGGCGTCAGGGACAGGCTATACCCCAATGAGATGCCCTCAGTGACCTTCCTCTTGCAGAGTGTAGACCAGATGCCTTGAAAACAGTGCCACCTGCTGGAGAATTGTACTTAGTGCATGATTCATCGCGGGACTATTTCATATCCAAATATTAATAATGGCTTTACTTTTAAAATACACTTTTATCCTCCTTTCGTTAAAAGTATACTTTATTTTATTTCACTTTTAAATAATAAATTCCTTTCATTCTTCCTTCCTTCCTTCCTTTCTTCCTTCCTTTCTTTTCTTCTTCTGGGGATTCAACCCAGAAGTTAATGCATACTAGGAAAAATATTATGCCATGGAACTACATCTCCAGCCCTGTTTTTGGTTTCTACATGTGAATGTATGCATTTTTATCAACACAAGCTTGCAATTATCTATGCCCCCCTCTATGTCTGTATAGTCTGTATCTTGTCAGTAAGCTGAAATGGAGGGAAAGGAGCAGGCACTGCGATGCATACCTTTAATCTCAGTATTCAGGAAGAAGAGGCAGGAAGATCTCTGAGAGTTCGAATCCCACTTGGCCTGGTCTACATAGTGAGTTCCAGAACAGCCAGGACTACATGAAGAATCACCCCCACCACATACACACGCGTGCGTGCGTGCACACACACACACACACACACACACACACACACACACACACACACAAATGGAAAGGTAAATCAAGCAGGAAGGGGAGAGCACATTTAAGTCAGGAGTAAGAGCATAGTGAAGCACGGAGCCAGGATGGTGCTGAGCACCTAATGCATGTGAGAAAGTCTCACACAAGTTCTGAAGAAGAAGGAGAGCATTTCCACCCTGACCTTTTTCCAGCCGTTTGCATAGAGAGAAATTTGATCAGGTATATGAGTCACCATGTCCATAAAATGAGAAAAGAGCTGCCACTCTGGCAGAAAATTGCTCCAGTCCCCCAAACCCTTCCCCTTTGCTTAGCATTTCCACCTGAAGCCGGGCCAGAGTCTGGACTAAGTGCCTGTTTGGAAGGAAACAAAAACCCCGTCTTTAAAAATCCATGGCTGTAGATGTAAGAATTTAGAGGGGTGGAAATTTAATGGCCCTGTCTAAAGTTCTAAAAGAAATACCTCTTACCTATGACAAAACTATATTCATTCAGTAATATGAGGGGAAAAGTTGAAAACTCGTACTAAACTGTGGTTCAAGAGAAAAAAGGAACTACAAAAATCATATTTAGACAGAGGAGATGGCTCAAAGGGTGAAAACGGTTTCTGCTTAAGTGTGAGCAGCTGATCCAAACTCCCGGAACCTCCACTCTCATTGCCCGCAAACCCAGAGCTGTGGAGGCTGGAGAAGGACCAATCGCTGGAGCTTGCTGCTGCCAGTATAGCTCCGGGTGCAGGGAAGGACTAGGGCTCGTGGGACTGAGGTAGACGGTGATAGAGCAGGATGCCTGGCACACCGCTGTGGACTCTGCATGCATGTGCATGCGTGTGGATACCCACAACATGAATACCTGTGTATACACATTCTCTGAATATTCACATTCATCAAATAAACACATACACCCCCCACACACATATACGCACACATTTGCATAGTGTAAGTACCTGTGTACAGCAGGTATACGCTGAGTATGTGCACACACTATACAGTCACATGCATATACACCATACAGTTACACACACACACACACACACACACACACACACACAAACACACACTAAATAAAATGTAAAGGCTTCCCAATACAGAGATCTACCGATATACAAACTCAGAAGACCATAGGAAATCAGAAGCCATACAGCAAAGGTTTAATTAACCCTTTTGAGGACATGAGGAAAGAACCACCCTCTAAGGAGTTGTCCAGTGTTCACAGATGATATGCAGCGGAACCTAGAGCTTATTCAGAACATCTAGCTCTGTTTTTATCAACGTGACTTAGTCAGTCATATGTCTTTTCTAGAAAGATGGGACAGTGTCCAAATCAGCACAACAAACGCCAGACAGGAGCTCTCAGCCCTTTATCCCACCAGCACAGAGCTCATTTCTTCCTGGGGAGCTGCTTCATGCTGTAAGCTCAGATGTAATAAATGTGACCTCCAGGAGGCAGGAGCGCACTCTAGTTAAATGGAGCAGCCTGGGGCCTCGCTTCCCCATAGGCCGCTAATTAAATTCTCCACTAGGTGGCAGCAACTGGAACGCAATTGGAAAAAATGTTACTTTCAAATCTTTCTGTTTAAATTTGAGAACAACAGTTTACAAAAGTGTAAACATTCTAATTTTTCTCCTGGAAAACGTGACCTTATTAGCTTATAGGATTTCAACACACTGACTTAATATAAAACACAGAACAACAAACGAATAAGAAGGCAAACTTTTGTGGAGATGCCTTCCAAAAATTATTTGAAAAAAAATATTATCAAGAATTTAGGTGTTCAGATTTTTTAATCCAATTTAGGGGCTAAAAAAGAGACTAAAATGGTGTTGGTGACAATGAGTCTTATTATTTATTGACCAGTACTGCCATGTACTAAAAGCTGTATTTAAAAAGCTTAAAACAAAACAAAACAAAACTGTGGACCTGGATCAGGAACAACCAAGCAAGGCCAGATTTGCGCGTAAGCCTGGACAGAGCCATTACTGGTGTCCTTTTCATGACCTTACGCTTCCA